TGGACCTTACGTGAGATGGAGTGAGAAACAGCTGTTTAAAAAGAGAGAGGTATATTAGGTACGCCCTTTATATCGCCGAACTCTGTGGCCGAACCTTCATGCCTAGAAATAACAAAAAAGGGGAAGTACAACGTTGCCAAACTTATCGCTTTTATTTGACCTGTTGTCTTTTTTGCATTTGAACAATGTTCTATCAAGAAGATAAAATGCTCAAGATAATCAAATTTGGGCGAAATTGATTTAAATGGCAGGTTACTGTTTTTTTTATTGGGAATATGCCACAAGTTTTCTTTACAATAATTGTAATATAACATTTTGATTTCCATTTCGGAAATCGTTTTATATAAATAAAATTTACTAATGTTTCGTATTTTAAGTACGATTTCCAAACTAAAAATCTAAACATCAAAATAATTTCCCAATATAAAATAATAAACAATTAAACATGCATACAATAACGCCACATTAAAAAATATTCATACACTAATTCTTTGGCAACGTCTAGTCTAGATAGTCTTCTGGTCAAAAGATCGAGTAACGAGAAGTAGAGGTGGGTCGTGCTAGTTTATCGTTAAGAGCGTAGAAGCAAAATTTCGGGCCAATGTTTTTTAAAAGCATTCATTTTTTTCGAATCCTGAGAAAACTAATAAATATTTTTGAAAAATTTAAACGCAGAATGAAACAATACATTATTACCGAGAGCCGAAAGTCCCTGAAAACTTCTATAATGTTTATTTTAATAAGTTATAGGGATGAAAAAAAAAAAAAACAAAATTTAGTGTGATTTTTAATTTCAAATATCTCAAAAAAACTTTTTGTTTATTCTAAGGGACTTTCGGCCCTCGGTAATAATGTAATCTTCCATTCTGCATTTAAATTTTTCAAAAATATTTGTTAGTTTTCTCAGGATTCCAAAAAAATTTAAATTTTTTTAAATGCTAAAAAGCATTTAAGCATTTTTAAATGCTAAAAAGCATTTAAAAATTTTAATTTTCATAAACAAGCAACTATGATTGTTTAAAAGTAGTTTCAAGTAAGAGAGTACCTACATAAACAAACATAACGGCTATTATCGTTTATGTGTATATCTTTTGAAGTGAAAGAAACTATCTAATGATATATTTATTATAACTTGAAAAATAAACTAAACAATACAAATAGTAAATCGGACTTACATTTACATTACACGTTATTATTAAATCGCGAATAGTCTAAATTGACATAAAAACATAAGTTTTTCTTGTAATGGACTCTCGATGCAGGTGTACGTGTAAATGAGTCATCTCCAATTAATTGATCAAAAATACACCATGGACTTAAGTCATATTTATTGGTTTCTTTTTCTTGTACTAGTTGATTTTCAATAGTACAATCTTCTTGTTCGTTAATTATAGAAGTAACCAGCTTCTTAACTTTTTGTTTTGTTCTGCACTTTAAATCGTGAATCCATAAATGTACATAATGACAATGTGCCACTCTGTTCTATCCCTCTAAATCTTTTTGCTAAACCCGATATTAGTAATTGTACTATGTCGGATACTATGGATGTAAGTATGCCGTTTGTTAAAATTTTATTGCAAGATTCTTGCAGGCAGCGTACTACAACAATCACTGAACTAGCATTCAAGCATTTTTGGTCACTCATTGTACTTGTTATTTCTTTAAACGGCCGTAAAATTTGGGAAAGTTGAGAACAAATAATCCAGTGTTCTTTATTTAGATTAGGTTTAAGTCTAAGTCTGTATTATTTAATACCAATGTGGAACGGGTTGCCTCTTCTAACTCGGTCATTCTTTTTAACATGTAATAGGTGAAGTTCTACCTAGTTTCCACGTCTTGGATTGGCCGTTTGGGAACTGTGTTCTGTTGTAATTAATACTTTAAAAGCCTTTCTGAAGATAAGGTACTTTTTTGAAATGTGTTTTTTTGCAGAATTGTCGAAAAAAGGACTTTTTATTTTATCTATTTGTACACGACAGCATTTAAGTGCGTCCCCCACCAATAAATTTAATCATCATCATAAATCACAATCATCATAAAACAAAACATATTTAATAGCTTTGACCATATTTAAGGAATTATCAGTTACTGCAAAATTTACTTTTCGTTTTAGACCCCACTGATTAATAATTTCAGTAATCGCTGTTTTCTGGATTATGGTTTCCAGAAAAATGGCAGCAGCCTAATAAAAAAGTTTTGAATACTAAATTTTCGGTTAAATATTGTCCTGTTAATGCGAAGTAACTCTCAGTTACTCCAGATGTCCAGAGGTCAGTAGTAATACAGATATTTTCTACTTCTTTAACAACTTGTGATCTAATAATTTGCTCACTTTTGACATAACATTCCTGAAGTAATGAACCTGACAAAGTTTTTCTTGTTGGCGGTTTTATATCCATAAATCCACCCTGCAAACTTCTTAAAAGCTGGTTCTTTAACTATGGAAAACGGATGAAACGAAAAGTTTAGTAAATCTTGAAAATCAATCAGTCCAAGAAAAAGAAACTGATAAAGATGACTTAAGTCCATGGTGTATTTTTGATGAATTAATTGGACATGACTCATCTAAACATACACCTGTATCGAGAGGTATAAAAGAAGTCGACATGTAATTGTCTGATGATATATTACCCACAAACAATTTCGAACGGAGATTGGAACTGTCCATTACCGTGGTGAAAAAACCATCGCCATGTATATCGTAACTTAACCACTATATTCATAAAATGTTGTAGTATTGTAACAAAATCTTTTCCTTGTGAACACATGTTTAACATCTGGTGTAATTTTAAATAAAAGAAGAACGCGACTAACAAGAAAAGTGGAAAAACTTATGTTTTTAAATGTCAATTTAGACGATTCGCGATTTAATAATGTGTAATGTAAATGTAAGTATTTAAGTACCATTTGTATTATTTAATTTATTTTTCAAGTTACAATAAATATATCCTTCGTTAGGTTCTTTTATTTCAATACTTATACACATAAACGATAATAGCCAATATCGATACATTTTTGGCAAAGTAACATAAGTGACATTTTTGGCGAAAATAATGTTTTTCAATTAAACTAATGCTATTACTGTTAAAAAGGTACTGAAAGAGTGTAGTAAGCCTAGATTTACTTTAAACCTTTTTTAGGACAAGTTTTTTCAGTCATAATTTAAATAAGTTTAAGCAGGTTGAATTAAAAAATTGTTTTTTCTACAAATCGTTTTTGGTGACTTACGTTACTTTGCCAAAAATGTATCGATATGTTTGTGTACTCGCTAATTTGAATACTGGTAAACAATCAACTAGTTACAGTTTACGAAAAACGGTTCCGATAAAAATTAAAAAAAACGAGAGGACCCACCTCTAGTTTTTTAGGTATATTAGGATCGGAACCAGAGAATATCTGATCGGAACTAATCGTCTCACTAATGGGCAATGGCCAATGAGTGTTAAAAGGATTTTAGGAGGGGAGACGAAGGGGAAATATGATTGTTATCTTTGTCTAATTCGCTGAAAATATGATTTTATATCTGCGTTAGATATCCTGTTAAATTTTACCATACCGACCTTAAAATTTTACCTACACTGTATGTGTTATTATGAGCCTCCGTCCTTTACCCACTGGTGTTTTTATACCTAGTGAAAGCTCTTCAATAAAGGCTTGTCGACGACTTTTAATTTCCAAATATTGCCATACCTTTGAGACAGTATGACCTTGATTTAGCCAAGTTTTATCTAAATAGTATACTTTTCGTCCTTCACGACGATACTCTCGGATTTTTTGTAATTTAAGTAATTTCTCCACCACAAAACAATTTCATCTTTTTCTAAAAGAACACTATTCCTGCTTCTTTTCATATATTATGTTCATTTCTTCTAATGTTCGCAATAAAACACGTCATGATATTTTGGGTATTGGATTATCAGAATTTATGTCAACTTAGACCTTGGAAGACCTACAATAGCGATGAACCGTCACTATTACTTTCAAGAATTTACTGCCTAGATTTTCTGTGTAAATGTTAAATGAAAATGAAAATTCAAAAATTAAGTAAAGGGAATATCTTGGACATCCGTGCAAAAGAGAGTGTCTGAGAGTTTTGGCAACACTGATCTCCATAAGCGTAATGTTATTTTCTTAACTTGAAACAAAGAATAGTATCATTTATTTTCGTTAGTTGTAATTAGTAAGGTTTATTAAATACATGATTATATATTTTTTGTTTCCATAATAATTTAACTCTTATTAATATAACTTTGATCAGATATTTGCTTATTTTTTATTTCACCACATTTTTTAATTATTCATTTCGATTGTAAGTAATATTATATCTTTCAAGTACCTATTTTATTATTTTATCTTTATGCATGTATATGTGTTATAATAATTGGTGACTATCGCAAGATAATATGAGATAAATACTCCTCTCTCTATATTTGTTTTGCTACAGTATACCTAATCTTTTTCGTATTAGTCTCTTTGAATTTTCTTAATTCCCTCGTGTCTGTTAACTTTCTCTATTCCCTATCTACAGAGAGGGTGGCGCCCAAATTACTATTTTCTTCACTTTCTCTTCCGTACCTTACTCTTGTCTTGTATTTGAGCTGCAAAGAACCCCGACCAAGATACCTCTACCAGACCGAAGCCCGAGCCTAGTGCCGTTTCCTGGGTAACCTCCACTCCAAGGTAGATTATCTGCAATTTCGTAGAGCTACAATACTATCTACTGTTTATACATTATCAAGCAGTTGTTATTTTGATCTTTTGTGCTTCCATCGGTGGAATAGATCATACATTACTATCTCTCATATGATGTGAGCTCTCTAGTTTTGATACCTATTTTATCATTATCCGTCTAAATAATAACGGCAGCGTCATGCGCCAACCAGGTACATGACGCTGATACATTGCGTGAAGGCAGACTATACAATTTCTAAAAGTATGCAAGATCAAATTTGATCTTGCCGTGGTACTTCCCGGTTAAAATTTTGTTTTCTTTGTTCCAGAGACTGTTTGTGAATCGAGATTACGTCTTCAATAGACGTTACTTGGTAGACAACACATTGAACACTATATTCATCCTAAACCGCAGTACCGAACACCCAAAGTTTCCAAAATACGCAGAAAAGTATCGGATCGACGACTATTGGTCGTGTATGGTAATCAAACCGTACGACGGAGATATGACAACGCCCGGAATACAGTTCGTCTTGACCTACTACGACAACCCAGGCGTGAGCATACCGTCCTCGGTAACAACTTGGGTCGCCATGCGTGCCATGCCTGAGTTTTTAGAGAAACTCAGAGAAGCTACGAAACATTATAAAAACTACTGTTTAAAAGAAGGTACAACGAAAGCGTGTAATGCCGTTATCGCAGCAGAGAGAGCGGCGGAAGCACAAAGACAGAAAGACAGATTGGATTACTGCAGTTACTTCAGAGAAGTTAAGAGTATATTAATACCAGAAAACGAGGAGCCAGATTCGAGAGGGAAGGAAAACCCTTCAGGTAATATTAAAGATACCGATAGTAGTGAAGTCAGTAGCGTACAGCACAATTCAACTAAACGTGATAGTCCGTACAATTATTTGAATCCTTTGTATTATTTCTTTCAGTAATTCAACAATAAAGTAGTCGATTTTTAAGAGACTGTAATATTTTGTATCGTCTGAGGACGAAAATATAAAGAGTGAAAGTATTGGGGGCTAGTAAAGAAGCTAAAACTTTAATTTCATATAGCAATATTATCTCCCATTACGATTTTTGGTCTAATGATCGCATTTTTTTATTTTAATTTAGTTTACGTAAGAAAGTTTTATTTATTTATTTATTTAGTATACTTTGTTGAGTTAAGCCTCGAACCATTTGATATTTCATCATTTGTTAATCCGTAATCTATTTTAACACCGAGCACGCGCAAAGCTTACTAATCTAATTTTCAGTGTCAAAGTGATGTTGTTTTCACATAAGATTTTCTTCATCTTAAAAAATGCAGCTCTAGCCTTCGCTATACGTATTGTAATTTCTTTGCTCATGTTCCAGTTTCATTTAGATCACCACCAAGATAATTGATACTGTTGGTTCTCTTCAGTTTTTCTCCTTAATTGATACCTTATTTCTATTTTACTGAAAACCATCACCTCTGTCGTTGTGGTGTTTAACTTCCGTCCATATTCATTACACGCTGTGGTGATCCTATTAATTAGATGTTAAAGTTCTTCGTAACTTCGTTATCAATACTAATGGCATTAATTCTGATACCACATTGAACACTGTCCAATGCTTTATTGAAAACGAAGTTCAAAGATGGTAAATATTAGAGGAAGCAAAATGTAGCCATGTCTTACTCTTCTTCGTATTTGAAGCTCTTTACAATTATGCAAGCCAATCCTGATGTTTGCATCTTGATGCCATGAAAAGATTTTTAATGCTGCGTAGATCTTTAAAATCAATACGTACCTGATGAAATATTTTGATTATTTGTCGCAGTACGTAGCTTGGTTTAAAAGAGACATTAATTCATCTTGGACTATCTCGTTGTTTAGGTGAAAACAGGTTACTGCAATATACTTCAACACTAATACTAAGACTATATTATACCGATACTATACCCTCTTTATATCCAAATACATTAAAAAACTTCAAGAAGAACTTTTTAATTTAAAATCTGTAATTCATTAGCAAAATTATAGCCACTCTGTATATTTTCCAATTTAGACTGAAGTGTTTTTAACAACAAACGTTTTATACCAGTGTTATCTAAGTTTATGATTATTAAATGATCGTCTGTTTCTATTATTTTGTTTCCTCCCCTTTACCTTTTCATATTTACCTCATAGAGCGACCTGAATCGAACGTAGGAAGCTGTAGAGTTCTCAGGTTTGATAATAGACGTCACTGCTACAAATTTAACTAATATTTTGTTAGATTGGCACACTTTTTCAAACATACTGTTTACAAAACACACAACATTGTGGATAGGTTTTTGTCAACAGAATTTTTCCAATGTTGTTAAAACGATATAAGAAGTGTACCTTCAGGAATGGAAAAAGAATCGCTGTTATTGAAAATTGATACTTTATATAGCATCGGAAGTCGAAGAAGTGATCCTGTCCCATACCCATAAAACAATATACGTATAGTCACTTACAATAAAAGCCGAGACGACAATATAAATTATTCCGTCGATAGACGAAGAACTGATAAACTTCAGGCACTGTTGGCTCTCCTTAGACATATATTTCTTAATGGAAGAAAATTTTTGTAACACAATATGGGGTTTCCCCTGTTTTATTGACACTTGCTGTTAAGGTCTTTATACTTTGACTTACGCTTTCAAAAAATCCTGAGGGTCAAACCTGAGGGTTCTTCTTAAATGTTCATGCTTGCTTTTAGTCACGTGTTCGTGCAACACCAATAGCACAACAGTACGCTTTACTTCCGACCGACGATATTTGCTCTCACAACTTAAACCTAACCATATCTATATTCTATCTCATTAATGTCAAATATTTCCGATAACCTGAAAAGCACCTATGGCATAAAAAAGCTACAAAAAAAACGAAGGAAAAGTTGCCAGTAGCCAAAAAAGCAAAGAAAAAGTGCTTAAATCGGCGGAAAGCAAAGAAAAAGGCACCTACAGGAAATATAAAAAGGCGATAAAAATCACGAACACTCTGATAAGCCACGACAAAGCATAAAGAGCGTAAAAAATAATAAATAGCAAACAAAAAAAAAACATAAAAAAAGCAAATAAACAGCGTAAAGATCGACAAAAAATCGAATTTAAAGCGAACTAAATGTATATCTTCTTTTACACTCAAACCAACCATGCATTCATGGCAAATATTTCGGATTCCCTGATACGATTAAAAAGCGAGAAAAAAGTATGATAAGCGCCAACAACATCCAGGAATTAAAGAAAAATCTTTCATTAGCGATTAACAGCAGAAAGCCTAAAAATGCGTCAAAAAATCTAAGAGAAACTCGTAAAGTGAAAGAAAAATCATAAAGAAGCGATAAAAATACGAAGAGTAAGTCTCAAAAGAGAATATAATATGTTAATTATTTCAAGAAAAGCGTCAGTAATAAAAAAGCGAAGAAAACACTATTCAACTGACGAAAGAGCGTCAAAGGGAAATAAAAAATTGACAAAAAGGAAGAAGTATAAAAACCGACAAAAAAAAAGCGGAGGAAACCTAACCGTAACTATATTTTCTCTATGTTATAGATAGCTATAGTCATTAATTCATGAAAAAATGTCAGTACTGAAAAAAGAACTATTAAACTGTGAAAGAGGCGCCAGAAAAGATGAAGAAATGAATGAAGTAATAAACTAAACTGACGATAAAGCATCAAATTCAGCACTGTTGAAGATCCAATAAAAACTAAGGACAAAGAGCATAAAAATGGCGACGAAAAACGTGGAAAATGTGTCAAAAGGAGAAGAAAATCTAACAAATGAGAAGAACAAATATCAATAAAAAAACGAAGACAGTGTTAAAAGCGAAGATCATACTTCCATCTAATAGCTTATTACTATTATTTTTTATTATATATTATTAATTTACAAATTGACTAACAGTAGCCAAAAAAAGCAAAGGCGCAGCAATTAAACCTATGAAAAGCCGAAAAGAAATTCACAAACGATTTAAAACATTAGTAAATCACGAAGAAAGGCGACAAAAGGAAAGGCAAAGAGCGAAAAAAAAGCGAAGACAAAGCGTCAAAAGCGAAAATGTCATGTATGTATCTTATCTCACACTTCTATTTAACCATAGCTTATCACTTTTATTAATGAAAAAAAAAAAACAATAGCAAAAAAAAACAAAAAAGCAGCAATTAAACCTAAGAAAAAAAACTAGAAATAGCGGAAAGAGCTTTAAACATTAATAAATGGCGAATAAAAGCGGGAAAAAGGCGAAAGAGAAAGCGAAGAGGTTATGTATATAACTTCTCTCATACTACCATTTAACCGTAGCATAGATTTTATTAATTAAAGAAAAACAGTACCCAAAAAAATCCAAGAAGCAGCAATTACCTACGAAACAGCCTAGAAAATGCGCAAAGGGCTTGAAACATTAGTAAGTTACGACGAACAGCGGGAAAAATTACAAAAGAAAAGACTAAGAGCAAAAAAAATTAAGAAAACGTTTGCTAATTAAACTATAATAAAAAAAGAAACGTAAAGAACAACAAAAAACAAAGTAAATGTATTTTCACGTAAGTAGACATCCGAGGGTTTTTAATGACGAAACCAAAATCCAGATTTTTGCTTTAATCTCTGCCTTCTAAAATCTAAAAGTTGCATACCACAACATATCTCCTCATCTAAGCAAAAATCAAGAATGGAAGTCAAAGCTAAAAAAATGTACATTATATAATAATTCTCTCACTTTCGCCCCACAACAAAAAAGGTAAGAAAAATATTCTAAACGAAGAAAATGCGTCATCTGTATCAGACAAAAGCGTCCAAAAGGACGACAAAGCATCGACGGTGGTAAGAAAAACGAAGAAAGCACCAGCTGTGAAAAAAGAAATAATACGGTGTGGTTATACCAACGAAAAAGCCTAAATAACTAAGAAAAATTTCTAACTGGAAAGTAAAATTAAATAAAAAGCGTCTCTAGATTGACTAAAACACGTTAAAAAGCAACAAAAGCGAATAGAGTAAGATTTAGTATTAAAGGGCAATGGAAATACGTCTGAAAAGCATTTAAACTTGCGAAAAAGCATCAATTATATCAAAAATCTAATGATAAAGTGTAAGGACGTAAAATTGTGCCAAAAAGAAGAAGTGACAAATAGAAAGAAAAATCATAAAAACCGACAAAGAACGATATCAAAGCGCCAAAAGTACCCTCACACTTATACCCAACCATGGCTATACTCTACCACATTCGTTCAGTGAAGAAAAAACGCGAAAAACAGTAAAAAAACAAAGAAAGAGCTATTAAATCAACGGACAACGCAAAAAAGGGAAGAAGAAGCGAATAAATTTTGTTTAAATCTATGTTTAAACGTAACAATCCAAGAAAAAGCGGAAAAATTAATAAATGGCAAAAAATTAGTTAAAAAGCGGAAAAATGAGACAAGTGGAAACAAGCGCAAAAAATATCAAAAATAGAAGACCAGCGTCTAAAGCGAAGAAAATGTTCTGTATAAATGCTTTCTCACACTTTCATCTAACTATAGCTTTACTCTTCTGCAGTTGTTAATTCAATAAATGACGTCACTATTGGTAAATCGACGAAAAAGCGCCAAAATCATATACAGCATAAAAAAAGAAAGAAATGCTACAAAAGAAAAACAGAAATCAAGGGTTTTTTCAAAATTTTCATTTTATTTTGTATTACTTATTTTTTAACGGTGTTATATTTTGCCATACTTTTTTTCAGAGCCGCCTGATAAAGATTAGCAATACAAAGAAAACTTTTTCACCACAGTCGCTACTACAACACAGAGAGAGTGAATAGTAATGAATTATTTTTAAGTGCCTTATCAACTGGAAAATCAGTGCAATATTATCTAAGAATTATTATATATCTCAAATTTAAATAAAATAATTTTTTACCGGTGTATAAAATAAATTTTTATTGTTATTTTTACTGATTCTTAATTTATATTTTCCCTAATTAAGCATTATTCCTAAAATACCCGACATGGTTTTGAAATTGCTAGAATTCTTATGTATTATAATTATAACAAATGATTTTTCTTTTAAATATCAGGGTCAAAAATAGGTCCAAAATAAACTTATTTGAAAGTAAAACTGTTATTCCCATTAAAAAGTTACATCAGCATAACAAAATAAACGATGTTAAAAAAAATAAGGAAAGTACCATGGAACACTACTCGAGCTATATTAAAAATCGGCACGACGAAGGATAAAAGGTTATTATGAAGGATAGGAATAAATTAAGAGGAATGTAGTTCATTGAAGGTGGAAATCTGAAGCTAAAAATACACAAGAATTAAGGGATAGAGCGAAAGAGGAAATAAAAGATAGTAGAGAGTTATTGAAGAGGTATTCTAAGGTAAAAAATGTTAAAATCTTAGAGTAGGGAATTTTACAGGCGTGTAAAATTCCCTATTCTAAGGTTAAAATCCAAAATTTTTTATCGGCGATTGACCTCAAATGTCTTCTTCTTTTTATATAAAAAATTTAACAGGGACATAAATTTATAGAATAGAATAGAATAGAAATATGCTTTATTGTCACTGAAAATTATTGAACAATTTTATGGACAAAGCTAAAAAATAAATCAGTCAAATAATACAAAGAGTATAAAACAAAAACAATATAGTAAAAAACAAAATAACACAATTTTAAATTAGTAAAATTATTGTATAACCTACATAATTTGTACAAACAACAACAAATAAGACAAATTGTAGCCACTGCTTGAGACACCCAAATGTAATTATAAACAATACTAATTTTGTTTCTTTGTTATGCATTAAGAAACTCGTCAACTGAGTAATATGGTCTTTCTGAGAGATAGATTTTTGTCACCTTACGAAACTTAATGAAGGATGTTGCGGATTTAATTTCTCTTGGAAGGTGATTATAAAGTTTCTTTGCACGATATAGAATAGAATTCTTTACTAGCTGAGTGGACGGGATCGGCAAATAAACGTTACAATCCGAATTTCTAATGGAGTAGCCATGGTTTTATGAGCTATTTACGTTTGTTAGTGTGGCCTGTTTGCTGGAAGCAAGGTAGTCTTTAGTTTAAATTGTTTTATTGATTTATTAACAATAAACTACATTCTAAAAACAAGTAAGAAAACT